TAAATTCGATTTATTTTATATCGATAACGTCAATTCCTTTGTATTTTTTACGGATATTTAGGCGAAGAATATGATCATGAACTTTCGCATGAAAATATGGTCAATGAAGACAGATGACTTTAAATGTAGGCCTATGTAGTAAAATCGGGAAAAGTGAAGTTAAAAAATCAAAGCTAATGGGTCTTCTTCTTTCGAGGCGTCCCGCTTTGAAGTCACGATAATATGGTAAACCTACCTATGAGTAAATACTTTGTGAATGTTTTATTGTACGCATATTACACATTTCATTATGGTGGTAATAATAGATCTGTGTTTAGCTTGTCCTAAAATTTGACCCCCGTACAAACTTGAGTTTTTGACGACATACCATGCTTGAACATAATACTTCAACAAGTTGATTTATTATATAAAACTTACAAATTATTTATTTTTTCTACAGTAATCTCAATCGATCATGTTATGCAAGAAGTACTTAAACTAAAATACTTAAAATTTGTTACTTTAGGACTCGGTAAAGGGAAGTTTACATATGCTCTGTGTCAAATAGCAAAAGTATATATTCCCAATACGATTCTCAAAACAATAGGCTTGGCAAACAAAAATTACGTGACATTCACTTCACGTAACAACGCATGAATCGGATATGCGTTACATAATGTACCATGTCGCAAAACACACATTGCTCATCGATAAAGGCACCGACATTTACAAATAGAGTTTTTGCAACGAGTGTACAATTAACATAAGATATACCATCCGATATATCAGGGCGCCAATTGTCTTTCAATCCCGTAAGTGGTGTTCTCGACTCGTAAATGGTAGCTTTGAATTTCCCGTGAAAGGTACTTTATTCCTACAAAGGAAGCATGCATTAAGCGCAGTAAAAATAGCAACACGGCCCAAAATGAACATAAGGAATTTTACAGAGTCATATGTTGTGTGGTACTACGTAACCTTTGGATTTCCTACCACTAGTATCCTTTCTTATTTTATTTCGTGATATAACTGATACATTCAGTATAGAGTGAGTTACCTCATGTTATGGTGATTCCTGTATCTTGTTCGACTAAAGTTCATTCTTCGGGTTATTTCGTCATTGCATTCATTAGTTTATATCCTTTTATTATATTATACTAGTATTCTTGCCATATGTCACAGCTAAAAATGGTAAAAAGGGAAAATCATTTTTCATGGGTCGCGACTGTATATCAGTAACATTAAATAACATTAATGATAAAATATTTGTTTCCTCGAATCAAGCTCGTGATTGAACGAGATATCAATCGCGCGTGCATTTACCTGTAAATTTTGTCGGGTGTATTTTACTAAATTACAACGGTATTGTAACGAATTGTTACAGAATTTTCCAGTTCATATGTATAAATTACTTAAAACCTTTTGAAAATACGGTTAATAAATAAAATCGCATTGAGTTATTTATGCTCAAACCATATACTATAAATACTATAAACGGAATCGGGGTATTTTTCAAATGCCATCTATACAACTTTCTAGCGAAATTAATGATGATCTTATTAGTTTATGGTGACACTTGTCGTTTTTATCTCATATATATTTTAAAATGTATAAACAACCGGAACTGAAATTACGGTGATTTTAACATTCAAACAGTCATTTCTCTGATTGTGAAATAATAATATCACAATTCACAACATTTAATATTTATATTAATAAAAAAAAACGTTATACTAACTAAAAGAAATTTGCATAATAACTAAATCAAAGTTTAACCCAGGACTGGTCAGAGTTTAGTGGAAGATACATTCGATTTTTTTACTATTGATCAATTTGAACGACCACATAAGAGACAATGACAAGTTTCGTATATTATATAACAGCTAAATATTGCAGTTGTAACTGATTTATTTTTATAGTATTAAGTTTGGCAGGAGTGCAATCATAATTCAGATACTCTTACATTATTTATGACCTTGAAAATCCCCATTTTTCTTTTCTGAAAAATTCACAAGAACTATTTTGACAAGATGAAATCTAATGTAAATGATATTACAATAAAAAGTAGTTCCTATTCTGGGAATAATTTTTGTTGAATATTATACAACGAAATGAAAAAAACATAAAAACATTTTGAGTTTAAAAGTAATTACACAATATAAACAAATTCTATTGCATTTGTATTTAAACTAATAACAATGAAAATTTGATTTAAAAAAAGATTTGATTTTTAATGTAATATTATTATACTAAATAAGGAAGCGACGAAAATTTAGATAAAATATATATAAGATTTCTTTGTGGAAAAGTTTGAGTAAAACCATATTTTAACAAGATCAAAGTATAGTTTGAAAATCTCAGGCTATATTATTTGGATTTGGACTTTAAAATTTGCAAGCAGTTGAATATATTTATAGAACCGAATTACTTAAAAAAACTAACCAGTGTATCACACGTATTCAAATTACAGTCCTACACTTAAAGCTATGTCCATATCATTGATTCCCATGGTATATTTTATCCCATTGTTATTATTAACGCTATCGACATGTTTTATGATACATTAAAGTTTTATTTTAATTTTATAATAAGTTTTCTGTCACTACTATGGCTTGGAAATACTGTACTTTTTGTGTTAGACGCAGCTGATTTATTACGCCATTATCGAGGTGATGGGCCTGGAATTTAAGCTTGAAATATTCTAGCTTTAATGTATGCATAATTAAAAATATGCTAGTTAAAAATTATGCTAGCCATCCGGCTACAGCTACCACATTCCATCAATATTTTGTTTGTCAACTAATCGAGCACCTAATGAGCAAGGTCTGTCAATTTTAGCCGTGATTCATTATCGCGTAGTAAGGTTACCACATTTTTGCACAATAATCGCTCAAACAAATCGCGTTTCAAAGTTGCAGACAATTAGGCCGCATCGAAAATATCTACGTCTGTTATGTTCCCGATCTTGGGAACGTACAGAATTATTCGTTCACATCAAACGAACTATTTTCAATTAACGGCACCTGTATAACGCGTGCGAGCGTTGATAACAACCATTTACACGCGAGGTTCGCGACCCCTACATATTCTCAATAATAGAGAACAATAAACAATTTCAAATTTCAAAGATATAATTGCTATATAAAAACGACACTAATGACTCATTTGGTTCACTGTTTATAGTAATTATTCACATAAACAGATAACAACTAAAATAATATTTATAGATACAATACTTAAAAAATAGAATTTTTCGAAAACGGGGCAGTTTTCGATTATGGTTTGTTGTTTGTTCGGTTATCTTCTTTCGAAGTGAATTTCGGAACGATACTTTATCAAAGATAGATACGGTGATTCATGCAAGAATTATGCAATACTCGTATAATCAGAGTATGATTTATCCATGATATATACTTGATCAATGAAATATTCTGTACCTTTGCATTTCGCGTTGAAGTTTGTTATGAAGGAATTTCTCCTACCTTTCAGCTTTTAAATGGAATTTTGTTTGTAAGTGTGAAATCGATGAACTTATATTCCTATAGTTGAAAAAGTTTGTCTGGCCATTGGCGGGACACGCTATTAACTAACGTCTTTTTTCGTTATTATTTTACCGGTATCTTTAATTTGATTCTAACGAACTATGCTCCGGGTTCTTCGTTTAAAGTTTTTGTGCCTCATAGAGCTTGGTTTTCGCTCAACAGGGTCGTTGCAATAAATGGTGTTTACATTTCTGGAAACAGTAAATACGAAACTTGGCATTTCCATTCCAAGCTCAAAAAGATTATGAAAGTCTTGGTATCTCGATTAATTTAATTGATTACGGTATGGGTTCGACATGTGTATTAATATAATTGATAATTATGATACTAGTACACGACAATTATCCACTAGAAGCATTTTTGTCTAAATACCCAAATCTTAAATTATAACTATTTATTGCAAAAATAGCCTTTAAATTATAATTTACAAATTTGTATCCGTTCTTAAACTTGACGCGACATATTTATTCGCGTGTTTCCTAGCAACGCACAGTCAACATCATTGTTATGGAATTCAAGAATTCTAGACGTAAACATGCCAAGCGCATTAGGTTGATCCCAAAATAATTTTCAGTAATATATTAACTCTGAATTGTTTTAAAAAATGAACTGAAACAAAAAATCATCTATATTCACTAAGTTTAAAAATGTATCATTTATTAAAAGAAAATGAAAAAATCGAAAACGAGCGAAAAAATAGTAAATTTTCCTATTGGAGCAGAGGTGAAGAACGTCAAATTGTCATATAGCATTATATAAAGCTTATACTATGTTAAATACAAGTAAAATTATTTTCAATAACTCATATGGAGTTTATTAGAACTATAATATTGCAGTCTATCATTTATGCATGACACATTTGACTTTCGTAAAAAAATATTTGACATTGCATATGTGAAGAAAACTAATTGACATTTCAACATTTACAGTTTTGTTGCAAAATCGGCATACATCATTTAAATTAAATGATATTTATGACATACTTTTGTATCGCGGCTGAACTAATATATTGATGTGCATTGGATGACCAAACAATTCATTAATTCCCAATGCAAAAAATGTATGACGACGAAGTAAAAGAAAATTAAAATTAGTTTGATATATACTATAACCAACAAAAATTCCAACAACCGTGCCATTATCAATTATTGGATGTTTGCTTACTCTATATATCGAATTGAATATAGCAATTAATAAACCATTTTTGGTAAGCATCTAATACTCTTTCATATCATGATGTCAAATATTTTTAAAACTTTAGCACAGACACCGAGTTCAAGCCATACGCCACAATGCTCTATAATTACGTAACGTTATTTGAGGATTCATACTGCGTTCTTCGACTTAGAGACAGAGGCGGTGTTGAAATTTAAATAAAAATGTACATTTTTAATGAACTTGATACACGAAAAAGGGTAGCGGGAATTTTAATATATACTTTAAATTAACAGATGTTAGTTTCTCCATTGCAGACTTTAACGAATGACGCGTTCCCCGGAAGACGACCAACAGTATATAAGACGACGACGTATCGTTGTTAAGTCAGTCACTCTTCTCTGGCGCCCTATCGAAAACGTTAGAAGACTTCTTCTGATAAAGAGGGAATTTTTTGCAGTTTGTTATCAAAAGCGCTACAACGACTTAAAGGTATAATATATGTTTGATGCATGTTATATTTTACAACCTAATGATGCTAAATATTATTCTCAAACCTAATTTAGTTTTAGGCACCGTTTACAAAAAACGGTATTTGGTTATGAATTTATCACAAATAATTTTTTTTGTTTTTAATACATGAACCACGCATAGTGAACCTTTCTATATTTGGTCTTGCGTAAAGAAACTATTTCCTCTCCGCGAGACTTGTATAGTTCGAAAATCCATCTTATCAATCAATTGTATATTCCAGATGAAATCTTTTGGCATTGTTATGCTTGGTGCCGCTTGTTTGGTTTCCTGTGTGGTCGCGGATTGTTACTGGGAAGTCGGTTGCACGAATACAAAAAGAAAGGGACGACAATATAATGTCGGACAAAAATGGAGGCCGTCGTCAAATTCATGCTATAATTGTAAATGCATCTTGGCAAAGAAATTTGTGGTGAGTAATGTTTTGATTTCAAATAAAATGCTTGTAGTGAACCTATAAATCCATATAATCAAAAAATTAGTTAAATATTTACTTAACATCACAAATGAATTATTTTCAGCTTGAATGTCTAGAAGTTGCTGAAACTCAATCCCAATCAGTCAAGAAAAGTCAAATCAGTGCCAGACTATCCAATCCGGTCCGATTTGCTCAGGAAGAAAATGTAAAAATTACCGCCAAAGAAGCTGCGACGAAGGAATGTGCCCCAACCCCAGCTCCGACATATAATTGGTCTACTGGCACTTTTCAGCCAATCACATACAGAACAGTTCACTACTACTATACAAGAAAGGAATCGAGATGCTGCAGTCTGTAAGTACTATTAAATGTTTTTGGCTTGAAGATAATTACAAAAAATGATAGTTTTCTTATTCAAAATATCAGGTGATTTATTAAACAATTTTTAATAAAAATATAGAAATTATATTTCACATACAATGCTGAACTCACAGATTCGAATTACGCAGTATTTAAAAATTGGAGTTGATTTGAAAATGACAGTCTGATTTATTCGTTGATTATATTTTATTTTATCAACCAAATATTCTATTAAATTAATTTTTATTTTCTATTTTCAGGTATTTTGCACCAATCAGCGTGCATCCTTTATGCAAAGTCGTCAAAGTTGGAAAATGTGGAACAAAAGTTGTCTTGAAAAGCAATCCAAAAGAAAGTTGCAACATGGCTATGTCTTTTAGAGGATAAATCTTATAAAACTTCTTTGATTGACACATATATTGTAACAACAACATTAGATTTTCTGTGAAATCCTACTTTTTAGAGTCTCCGTTATGTTTTACACTACCTCGATCAATTGAACTTTCATTGAGAAAAAAATGATAACCACGAAAAAACAGAGATTTTTGAATTAAAACCATGTTCTTTGTTGTTATTGCAAACTTTACTAATTTTGTCAACTGATGGTTATCTATATATCTCCCTATAAAACAAAATTGGTGTATGAATATAAACGGATATTTTCTTTTATTTTTGTTCTATTCTCTATGTTTTGCTTTTATTATATCAATTCAGCTTCAATTTACTTTCTATCTGTCTGACATTACAATAAAAATGAATTCCAAACATTAAAAAGTCTAAATACTTTAAGTATGCTTGTAAATACTTAAACTTGTAATGTTACGATCAGAATCGGTTTCTGATGCTTATTTTATGCTAATATGAAACCAGACAAGTAAACTTGTGCGTACAAGTCATTCGTTCATTTTTAATTGCATCGTTTGACGTCACACCGGAAGTATTGTGCAGGTCCCGGAAATGATTAATTGGATGAGGGGCAGCTTATGGTTCTTTTATATATGTATGGGAAGGCAATTAAATTTTAAAGATGGATGCGTGGTATATTTACTGTATTGAGATCAGCGAAAGACCAATGTGCATTCATTTAACTCGCTGTACGAGTATTAGTTATAATTGTCAAAAATCACATTCCAACTATGTTAAATCACTTAGGAAAGTATCAAACAAGAAAGTACAATTATTATACTGATTATTCGAGGCAAAATACACACAATGAGAAGGTTAAAGTAAGCCATATAGCCTTGTGCAATTCTCCTCTCACGTCACATGCTCCTTACCTAATGAATGTATGAGATGATATCCTCAACATGCTTGTCGCATATAAAATGAACGTTCTCTGTGTGGGTTTAGATTTAATTTAAATTTGACAAAAATAGAATAAATATGTCCGTAAAGTTATTATCGTCCTATTTTTGTGAGGCTTGAATTTGATGTCGAAGAAAAGGAACAATGATGATTTATTGAGTCATGCATTTGGATTTGCTCCAAGATTCGAACAGTGTTCATTTCTGTATCTCAAATTTCCAAATTATGCAAAGTACAATCTCGCCTTCCACTTGAAAAACGGCTTAATTAGTGTTGTGCAACTGTTTAGGAATTATGATTTCTTCGAGTATATTTCCACTTGCTCCCTGGTGCTACCAAGTGTTCATTTGTCAGATTGTACATAAATACAGTCATCAAAATCTCCAGTGCGTAGTTTATATGGGCTAGTAAGCCGCATACAGTAGATATGTGTATGAAAAAGATAAATTTCAGTTTTCAACTAGTAACACTGGAAAAAATCAATGTTCAAATATATGTGTACAATGAAATGACTACAGTTTGGCCAATGTAGAAATTATTATCGGTACCTAGCGGTTAAACCGATGGACTTGACTGTGCTGGTATCGTAGAGTAGGCCGCACATTTCGCCTTTGAATTCCATTCGTCCAGCTCACCAAAAGTGTAATAAATTGGTTGGCAATGTAGATCCTTCCATGGTAATAATGGTTTTTTAAATTATACGCATACGGATCCGCTAGCGCAAATGCATGCGTTGGGGGAGGATTGGAGAGTCTCGCATAACCTCTAGTGATAGTTCTTTAAATATCGTTAGATATCGTTGGATACCTGTACAGAGAGTCTACTGAGACTAAAAATCAAACTTTGGGTAAAATCATGAATTTGAATCAACATAATATTTATGTTACATTCGCAATCGAATATGTATATACATATATATTAAATAGTGAAAAGACAATAGAATTAGCGATATATTTGTAATTTTCCTATATATTTATGTATGTTTATGTAGATTATCTTATAACTCAAAACTATATCCCGTGTTTCCCGTTAAAATAAGACCGAGTCGATCGCGCGAATTTTTTTTTTTGATCTAGTCGATAGCAAGAAATCTCTCCTACATGTTCTAAACGATCAATCTAATCATGATTCTATCTATCTAATATATAATCATGATTAATTTATGTTTTTTTTAAATAAAAACGTGTTTTTAAAGACAAAAGGATATCGGTTTTCATATCTGTATCTGTATATTTGAAAATCCCCACAGACAAATAAAATAAAAATAGGCCCTATTGTTATTTTTCGAACGAATCAAAATAGGACCCTGTATTATTTTCGGGGAAACACGATATGTCTAACAGATTATAATCTTTTGCCAAATTCATTTTCACTTCTGGGTTTATGTACATGTCGAATTAACTCTTTCACGTTCTGGCATCGCAGTCCCCCTATATCTTTAATTATGTCCGTAATATTACTATTAGGTTTAGTGCCAAATATATCCAGTTTTTTAAATCTTACAACTGGCCTTTGCTAGTAATTTAACTGAAAACGTTTAGTAAATTATCTCAGACAGATCGATGAAAAGATAAAGGCGGGACATTTCACACTGAAAAAATATTTGGCCATACCCCGATCGGGTTTAAAACTATCGTCTTTTTGCAAGGGCTTGCCTAATCTGATATCAAAAATTGACATATAATAAGCTTACGGTTCATTCTAAAAGTTTGTTGTATAAACCAGTTCTTCTGCTGAATCGACACTTTTAAATTTTGTTAAATTAGAACAGCAAAACCACTGATAAAGTCTAAATCAACAAAAATTCTGATTTCATTCATTTTTGACATAATCATAGAATAAAATCCAGGTAAAACTCAGGTCAAAAGCATTTTATGCTAACATCAATTTTTGTAGGACTTGTAACACCGACTTGTTGAACTTACCTTCGAAGTTTAAAACAATTTAAAAACTTAATCGAAAGTTCATGGCATATATTTTAATAGGTTTCTTGCACCATAATATGAGATGCGGTTGATGCAGTACCTTTATTAATTTTTCATGGGACTTTTGGGATATTTTTTTATTTTTTGAGGTTTCAAAAGTGAACGTATCGGTGTGATGATATAATGTTGATATGACAATAATTGTTATTTGAAAGTAAAAAAGCATAAAACTGAAAAGTTTGAGGGAAAGAAAGGTCAGAACAACATAACTGATACTAATCAAAAATTTTAGCAAATCGTAATTGACATGTTAAATTTATTTTGATGTTTAATAGCTCGTTTCCGTAGTTCTTAATCAAATTTTAAGAGGTTTTAATCTATTTTGCTTAGTCATGGTGATGTACTAAATTGAGCATCCGATCATCGTACAATTTTATTCGCGGGCTATCAAGCCAAGCCTATTATCACGTGAACCAAAGACAAACGTGTGAGTTATCAATAGTCTACTCTAGGGTTTAAGTTGTTGGATCATACTGTCAATGCAGTTTAGTACCCAAATCTCAATATAGGAAATATATGAATGGCAATAATTTACAATCTTACACGGCGTTCAATGACATCCTTGTTTGTAGATTCAGTGCCCTCATAAACCTCAGACCATATGTTTACACATTATTTAGCAATGGAACAGGTTGGTTGGTGAGCGAAATAATTCTACCGCTTTGGATTGGTAACTTCACACCAGAATCATCATCGTCCCAACAAAAAAACTCTGAGTTCGCTTTCTTTTTTGTGTCCATATCAGGTAAGCTATATCTCTGAGAAGCTTTTAGATGGTCAGGAGTATTGCCTCTGCGCATATTTCATCTTATTTTGAAGTAGAACCTGAACAGTTTTTTTTATTTATACCTCTCTCATTTCTAAATTAATCAATTTTCTTCAGCTAAGCATGCAAACTTCTCACGAGTGTTGAAAAGAATTATTATCTGCCATAGAAAGCTCATTTGAACAAAACTATACGTCATAAAAACATATTATAATTGTGCCACAATGCATTATACTTTATTATGTTTCCGTTATTTTCGTATATTTTATATTTTCGTTTCAAATATTTTTTATTGTCGATAAATCACGCACGCTTTTGCAGAAATGTACGTCATAAGCTCGTATAAACGATTTGTAAAGCTTATGTCATCTTCTACGGTCAACTTCAAAACTATTAGTGCAATAAGTAAGTGTTATATATTATAACGACTGGAACTACTAGACAGTCGTTGCAATTGCGTTCCAATATGACATTCCTCATTCTGGTTCAATTTGCTGATAAGCGATAATAAGTGAAAGTGGTTTGAACTAATACCTAAATAACACGTTGAAACTTGATGAAGAAAAAATCAAATAATTTGTGGACTTATAATAAGGGAATGACCGTCATACTGCCACCATTCACAAACCGGGTCGAAGTCTATAATCACTTGAGACAAGTTAGGAACAAGTGGGACATAACATTTTTGATTAGGGCAGCATCACATTCGTAAGTTTCAATGATATTGTTTCAAGTTTCACGGAAATTGCTAGAATAAAATTGAACTTTGTGCTTAATTTTCGCTTGATTTGTTTTTAAATTTTACAATATTTTCGATTGCGCGTCCGGTCATTTATTACATAGTGCACAGGAAACCCATCAAAAAAGTAATTCAATTTTTGCAAAATAGATACCAAGAATGCGGTAATTTCGAAACTACAATTTCTTTTAAAATGAATTTGAATTTTTTTTTTGTTTCTCTCGTTTTACGTGCAAAAAGTATAAATAGCGGCAACTATCGTTGCAGAAGCATTTTCTACAAAACCAAGTTACCAGTCCTATTGAGGCTTTCCAAGCCTGAAGCATTCTTCGAGTGCCAAAGTTCGCATTGCGGCAAAGAAAAGTATTACAGCAAAGGTAGGTGTACAATTACAAAAAGTACACGTCGGTTATTCTGTTTTTTCTTTACCATTGTACGCTGCATTGTTACCGATACTCTACAGCTATAAAAACTTAGCCTTGCAACATAAAATATTTAATAGGGTGTAGTAAGTTTAACTCTAAAATATGCCCGGTTAGGCTCTGTCAAACTGCGAAAAATATTTTTGTCTAAATGTACTTCCACATTGTCTTGTGCTTACATTTTCTCTTTTTTTCCAGATGAAATTCCTTCTTTCAATATTGTCAGTCGCCTTAGTCGTAGTCTGCGTTTCAGCAGATTGCTATCGCCAAATTGGATGCGAGGACAAGAAAAGAAAATCCGAATATGAATATGGACAAAGATGGAAGCCTTCTACAAATCCCTGTTACAGATGTTCTTGTTATGAAGCTAAACGATACGTGGTGAGTGGTAAAATTTGTGTAGATTTTTGAGTTTAATATTTTATAAATTACAAAATATTCAATTCAATTATAGTACTAAATTTTAGTATTTTATTTCAGAAAATATTCTTCATATTTTCATAAGAACTTACTAATTTTCGTATTTATTATATTATATGTCGCATGTACTGTACTCTGCAAATTGTGCTCCGTTCAGATATGTAAACAAACTCATGTGCATACAAACTGTAGCATAAAGTACTAACTTGCAATAAACTCGTTATATTGAAATGGTAAAACAAAGCACCATTATATGGCCAAAAGTTCTTGGCTAACTTTCACATTGATTTAAATTAAATTAGTTTTAAATTAGCAAAAATTGTTCGACAAAACTTCATCAAAATTCATACATCATAGATACGGTCATAAATTTATCATAACTTTTATTCAAATCTCAAGTATGGGTATTGAAATTTGAAGATATATTTAGACAGCAATTCGTCTTCCCTGGCGTGACTATTGTTGCGCCACTTTGATTTAATGATTCCATGGTGAATTACCATGGACAGTTTAGTGTCAAATCCAATTTTTACGACTTCCTCAATATGCTGAAATTTGACGTCACGCATTTCACTTCATCGAACATCGCAGCCACGTATTTCAAAAGATAATTTATTGTATTCAATGCTCTCAAAATCACGTTGAATATGATTTATCTGACATGATGTGAAAAATTAAGAAGACCTAAAGTATGTACTCACGCAAGGTATTGATTACCAAAAAATAAATTACATTTTGAGGTCGATTTCATCGAAACGTGCAGCAAGAAAAAAATAGGTGAAATATAGAAAATGATATTCGCATCGAATTAAAGAATAGCTCACTGCTGGAACAATATTGTTTACTGGCGAACAGAGCAAAATATTCCGCGCAATATACGCCAGATTGATTCCCCCATGACAGAATTGCCTCCTGTGGTAGCGGCCATTTAGATGTCGATTAGGGTCATATGTCCATCGCTATTCTTAACCTCGAAATAGTTAGTTCAGCATTGTGTTGTTATCGGTATATCGTGAAAAATATAATTGGCTATCTAAGTAAACGAAATATTTTGGTACAGCTTTTTATTAGCGGATTATGTTAACGACGACAATTTGATTTTTTCCTTGTCAGCTGAACTCTTTTGCCCTTATCTGAGGAAGCCAGTTCTCCCAGCTCATTGCCGCGTATTCATAATATTGCTACTTGAATTAATTATATACCTATTTTGGAGCAATCGTGATCAACAGATTTCATGATTCTAATGTGAAAATCCATCAACATTTCTAGAATTTTATGGTAGTTCAGTCTACTATAAACACCTTGTTCGACACGAAGGCACAAACAACATATATAACCACATATAACCGCATACAAAAAATCAAGTATGCCTCACATCCATATACGTATTCGTGACACCTGTCCATAGCATTATATCACATTAAACTATGTCAAACTTCCAGTGAAATAAACTCTTGCGATTCATTAACCCACAGCTCAATAAATCTCGTGATTGTTCATAATCCACGAATGCACGATTTGATTGATATTCATTTAAACGTGACAACATACACGAACGGTGTAATAGGGTCGTGATTGTTCAAAACTCGGTTATTTACAGCTTTTGGAAATTCAATCCTCTTAACTTGGTATTTTTTTTTCTATTATTATGAAAAGCAACTAAATTCCGGAAATCTTATACTACTGCAAGTAGTTTGATTTGGCACGTATGTCAAAAGAATGATTGTTTTACATGAGGTTTGGTAATTCGAAGAAAATGGTTTAAGTTGTAAAAAAGATACATATTCACAAATTCGTTGAATTCGAAATTGCCGCAAGTGATTTAAAATTTCAAGGGGTTGATTGGCATGCGAAAAATATGTTTTGTACGATGTATTTTCAATAATTTTGTTTATCGTTTTCAGCTTGGATGTCAAAAAGCGGTAGAAAAGGAATCCTCACGGGCGTTCAGTGTCAAGAAGAGTGCTTTCATCGCTAGACTCTACAAACTGCCCACCGAACAACAATTCGAAGACATTGAAATAACAAGAGAGGAAGCCAAAACAATAGAATGCGATCCTGTTCCTGGGCCAATCTTTAATACCAAAACAGAAAAATTTCAAAATCGTATTTATCGTAATGTCTATTATTATTATACAGAAAAGCAATCCCAGTGTTGTTCCAGGTTAGTATTTTACATTGTTAATGGAACTGCAAAAACATAGAAACGTATAGACGTCTAAAAGGGTTTTATTCGGTTATGGTTTACGACTGCAAATATAATGCAACGGATGAAGCACAACATTAATAAGAGTTTGCAGTATACTAGTGTATTCTGTAAATTATATATACCAATCTAAAAACAGCGCTGTCACCGAAATTTGCATATTCAGTTATGACTAAACCTTAAACCGTTTTACTGATTTTCACATAATGATCATTTCCTGGAATCAAGATTTCTGGCGACAATCAAAATCATTAGAACTTGGCTATAGTAGACTCAATTTTTTATTTATGATAGTTGTATAATTTAGTTAAAACTTCAAAATCATATTCCGCACTTCTTGCAAAAATATTACGGCATTGAGATTGATATTGTTGACGTGTTCTCTTCTAAGAAATATTGAACAGAATTCTAGAGTATGCATTGTCTAGAGTAGACGCCGTCTAAATCTTTTATTACTATGACTGAGGTATATTGCATCACCAACAGACTAGACGTTCAATATTGGCTCAAGCATGAGAATTTGTAAAATTTAATAGACTAAACGTCGCTGACCTTGCCTCATTTCCCCCGAATTCTGCATTTATGAGGCATAATTGACCAAAGGATGAGGGAAGTCAATGACGTGCTCCCTGGTAGGGGAAAATACGGTGATAAGTTCAAGGTTGTCCCCTGTTACGTATCTGTCTAGTCTAGAGACTGTAGACTGCGGGTGTATTGTGATGTAATACTGTAATTAATCACCTTCGATGCATATAATTTGAAAGTCAATTGATGCGAGTCCTGCGTCCTCGTATATATTTTATTGATTTATTTTAATTTTGCAGAACTATCGCATACAGATCAATTCATCCATCATGCGAAGCTGTCCAAATATCTGAATGCAGATGGAAAGTGGTTCAAAAAGACCATCCGACCGAACCATGTAACGGTCCAATGTCGTTTGTGGGCTAGGACGTTTTTCCTGGCACTTGACATGATTGCAATCAACTCAATATGCATTGTGTTAAGCACCATATTCTTGGTGCATGTTCTGTATCTGATGCTTTTATTACAGCAAAAAGTTCCATTAAAAGTTCTAACGATGGATATTATATCGATTTTAAGCTTTAACAGCTACAGTATTTGAAATTTGTTTTGTGTTCTAACCTTATATTTACCACTGGATTATAATCGGCTATGCATGGTGAAATAATATTGCTTAACAATAAACCGAATTTTTCTAGCTTGAATCCAGATTGTTCCAAACTACACAAAATGCTTAGACGAGTATAAATTACGTATACAATTTTGCGTTGATTTTGGGTATAAAAATGCTGGTCGTGTGTATTATTTTTCTTGTATTAAATATTTCAAATAAAATTATATTTGTGAGCATTTGAAGTTTTTTTTTTTTTATAGTTGAACCTGTTTGGTTTGGGAGTATAACCTCAATCATATTTTTTAAGCTGAGAGGGGCTAGCTAGATGTTGACTAATAGTCGAACTGAAAAAAGAAGTTTTGTCACTTTAAAATGATAAATATTATAGTAGTTGTGGACCCTGTAAACTACGAACGCGATCAGTGGTTCGTAATCTTCATTCCAGACACGTCTCACTAAGGTTAGGTATGAACGTTCGCGACCACCTCCATTTTTGGCAAGTCCTAAATGGCTTCCTGGGGGGTGTTAGCGATGGTTCGAAATAAGTAACGACTTCGTCATCAATACCTGAAATGATTAGCGTAAAAATTATATGCCAAGCGAATTGAGAATGAACCACGACTTACAAGAAGTCGCGGCTCTGTCGTTGGCATGTAGGTTAAATTTTTTCATATCAAAAGATAGTGAAATTACCAATTATTCCAACTGGCGATTTTTTGGTTGCTACCTACCGACGATACTTTTATGGTATGAGACAGTTGTCAGGTGACGTCCGTCGATTAGCAGAAGAACCGTCTAGCAATCTTCCCTAATTCTAAAAGATGTGCCCTACCTCCAGTCTAGATCTAGACGTTCTAGCATTTCAGCAGTAACATTACCAGCACTGAGAACTACGATCCTTTTTGGGTTATCTATAGATATAGTCAACATCTACGCAGGTATAATATTTGTACTTTAGCCTTTGCAGCCATGATGTGTACGGGGTTTTCCTCTATTTGATTTTTATGCCAAAATTGATTGAGATAATTATTAGTTAATCGGATTATTTTCGTAAAATATGAAATTCGCAATATGCATTTATGATATGAAAAGTGTTCCACAAACCATAAAAGGTGGAAAATCACTGTATATTCTGTATATTTTCGTTTTCTGGGTACGAAATGCACCTATGTATCGTTTTGCTGAGTTGTTAGGGTTGTTGATGTTTTTCTTATTAGTGTTGTTGTTGTTGCAAAAAAACGCTTCGCTCCGCAATTAATCGTCTAATGAATTTCGATTTTTTTAAGTAAAATTGTAAAAGATAGGGATCGCCAAGAAGACTTAGTCTTATTCATTTCCAATATAGCCAAAATTTCACTCAAATTTTTACTGGCCGCCCTTATCAGCCTCAATGAGTGTCACCCAAAATGCTATGACAATTATCGTCATTGGAATGTGATTATGCAAACGTACTTTCACCGGATAATAAACGGTGTTTGTGGCATTTAACAAAGCAGCAAAGATGTCCCATTTAGTGTATAATAATTAGTTTATTATTTGTCACAAAACTATCATAATTTCCGTTTCCTGCCGCCGCCTAAATGTCTCATATATTCATTTGAATCTAACATTAATAAAGAGGTTGTTGGCATAAAACGCTGTCTCACCTGCGAATAAATTAATGTCCGAGTGTCAGAATATATTTAGTAATCTTGATTCTGAAAATCTGCCAACAAATAATCACTAGACCGCCCGGAAGTAACTATGTAATATACGTACGTGGGAATTTCCAATTATAGTTTAAACAAAATCCACATTCAAGTCAGAAATCCAGAAACAATATCTTTTATGCGTTCTAGATCTTCAGATACTTACTTCACCAGCAGTCCTCCAGTTTTAGAAAAGAAGACATACAAAATTCAATGTACTATACTGAATACGTATAAGCCACTGGATAACTGCATAGCGAGATAACCCGTGTACGCGATCGCAGCTATAATTGTACATACATCTATGATTAAATAGCGTACTGAACTATTATTTCTTGTAGACTGTTAAATTTCGTTTTGTTCGATAGCAGACTATATTTTAAGACTCCGGCAATGGCCTCGCGTATTTGAACGGCGGGGAATAAAATTTTTGAAGGGAGGTGTCAATAGTTGATTCGATTGTCGGAGGACATAGGGACTAGTACATACCCACCACCTTACACCGGAGTGTAATAAAATGGGCATCGTTGGATGCCAGTGGAAGATGGCACAGAGTCTTATTCGGGGCGAAATTCGCGGAAGAGTGTTGTTTACAAATCAAACTTCTCACGACAAGCGCAAATTTGTTCCTCCAATATTAAATACGTTGTAACGCAAAATCAAAAAGGCAAAACAGGAAAATACGAAAAAGAAGTCGACGATACCATTACTAAAGCACTAACTCGTCGGTATCCATGGAAGGGAAATCAACTTTGTGGCTTAATTGGGAAAATGGAAATATTTAAGATGAACAAGCACTGAAAATTGTGTGTAAAGACAGGAACAAACGATAACCATTCGCAAGATATTTGTACAGTATTTAGAACAGAGTGATCAATGGGCAACGGTGGTTTCAAAATAAATAGATAGCATTATTTTCCTAACAGTAAAAACTATCTTTACTTAACGAAAATAAGGACAATACGCTTATAGGATGTGTAAAACTAAAAGGTTATCCTGCTATCTAATTTAGTAACCCTCTTTGCAGCTGCTTTTTAAAAGCAAATATCTGAATGTATCACACGAGAGCGTCTAAAGTTTGTCCATCGTTCACAAACAATAAATGTATTTGGTGTTCATCACAAAGGTCATGGTCACGTATAATTTACAGCAGGTATGAATAATTTCTTGTCATTGTTTGCGCACAAACAAAGTCTTGATTTCACGCCATTTACGTAAAAGAATTGGAACGGACTCTGACATGACCCATTTTAAGTACTTTACGAAGAAACGGTAATGTATTTGGCCCATGCACAAAATATTAAGCTTAAGTCATGTTTTAATAGGGTTTCCGAATATCTGACACTAATTTGTTTGCGGGTAAATTTGTTTGTCGCGCTTTGACATCAGAAGATAGAACAAAATATTTATAATATTATTATTATATATTAATGTCTAGTGAAGGCTAAGTGAGATTACTTGGAGAAAAAGAATAAAATTTGTATAGACAAAAATATATATACATATATTGTAATTTATGATGTGATTCCCAAAAAGGCGGCGTGGTCGGCATTTCGACATTAAGATTCTATTTATCGTCCGTAAATGTAATCATATTAGCCCATTATGTAATCAAGAATCAATTACTTGTTGATGAATTGAACGTTTGGCACGGACACACAACGGATTGACCTTACGCTTTAGACATGAGATTTATTGCAGTGAAGCATCACTTCTGAGAAATGCCTGAGTCAGCAGTTTTACAAAGTTTCGAAATTCTGGGAAAATGTGACCTCTGACTACTTTCGATGTTCCATGTTTCTGAAACATACTAATATATTGTTATGACTTATATTTTGTATTTATATACCGGTAACAACTCATAATACACGAGTGATATAAATGACATCTAAATACAAATAAGTTACGTCTAAATTATTTTATATATGCCAACATAAATAATTGAATCACAAATGCCAAACCACATGTACTACATTTTATTGGCCAATAAGTTCATCAATACATTTATCATTGACAACATTAAAATTGGTCATTGGGAGAAAAAGATTAGATACAAACTGCTTTTTAAAAATATGAAAAGTTTTTCAGAATTATGTAAAAATTATCCTGATTTAAAGTGGAAACAAATATAAATCAAATTAAAAATTAACAAATCGAATCAAATTAACTTTAGTCAAATACTCGTATGTACTACATCTAAGAATAAATTGAAACTGTTTCTATTCTAATAAATATAAATTTATTTAGAAGATGATTTTTCATTTTTGACCTTTCATAATAGATAGTGACATTTTTGTGAGTCTATATTGAGCAAACAAAAGGTCATCTAATAATCAGAAAGTAACCATTGAATCACCATTCACCCGATACACAAAAATAATAATTACAAATTTTAATTTCTCATTTTTCAAGTTTATAGGATACGATCAGAAGTATAAAGAATACCACTTCTGGAATCCTATGACGAGATCAGAAACATGTCGATATTATAGTTGCTATTAGAGATCCTAGGTTCAAGTTTTGTTCTTTCTTTTTAACTCATAGTTTAATAAATTGATTATTTCATGCCTAAATATATAGATTGGAATAGAAAAAGTCTTTCCAAAGATAGCAATTACTCTCGACTTATATCTGACTTTCAGAATAAAGCCTTGCTCGGTTTTAGATGAGACATTAAGATATCAGATTTGATCACATTGTGCATATTCCGCCAAACGTAATTATCAACTATATATATATATATATACACAAATCGTTCCATTAAAATAAGTCAATTGTCTTATATCCCTATTTTTCTTGACACATGAAACCCATTTTAGACTTTCGAATATGACTCATCGGCAAGTTGATTTGATACCGGAAATAAAATGACGGAAATAAATGGTTGTTTCAGAAATCCACAGTGCTGTTAATGACTAAGTAAAGTTTATATTTAGTCTTAAATTTATTACCAATGCATTTTATTCTCAGTCCATCTTGATAAAAAACATTATCATTTCAACCGATTAAATTAAGATTCATATAGATAAGGATAAGAAAAATGTACACAAATAAAATTTGAACTGGACGTATGAGTTTTTATGTCATATATTCCCGAACTCAACTATAGCATAACGCAGTTGAGAGAGACTTTTAGATGTATTTGACAATGTGGTATACACTTATTCTAGAATTTAGCCTGCACATTTCAGGCACTCGCTAAATCTCCTTGATGTTTTCAAATTTCGAGTCTATAGAACAGAAATCAACTCCGTCCTGTTCTAATTCGCCAAAATCAAAGCGATAGGCAGCGGCAATACAACGCCACACATTTATTTATAATAAAAATTAAAGATCGAAACAATTATTAATATGCCTTAGAAGAGCGGGGTTCTTTTGTTCGTACACAAAAATCAAACAATTCTTATTTGACCTGGATTGACAGCGACAGCGTCATGCATATGAACTCACTTTTATTTAGAACAGACAATATTGATCACGTAAACAAAATAAATCGTTTCGGACCTTTATTCGATAATTGTCTGAAACATACAAGGCAATTTATTATCTTTAATATAACGCCATCAAAAAAAGAACGTTAATTTTCTTTCTAATAAAGCGGTTCACACGCGACTGATTTATCATATTATGTTACAGCAGATTACAAAATCATTTTTCTTTCATTCGACAGCTATACAAACTATAAAATTTGTGTTAATATTCTGAGAAATCACAATACAGGTGCTTCAAATATTTATCGTAGGCAAGCTGCCAGAACTATCTGTCTGTCTCCTTATGAAGATAAATGACCCATGCAACTCGTGTGAGGATCCATAAAACTTATTGAAAATTTCACAAAATAGCAAGGATGTTGCAATTCTGTGGTAGGTTAGCGTAAACTATTTTACAAAAGAAATATAAACTATTTTGAATATCTGGAATTATTTTAATAGCAATTCCGACAAATGCAACTTACGTGACAAATTTTTAATTTTGTATTCGACGCAGCACTATTTCTTGAAATTTGTTTGCTAATATTATTTTGACAACATCACACCTTTCGTATGCCGTTCAATGACCGTTCTTAAAATTACAGTCGTGCTATTTTTTATTGAATAGACATTTATCGATTAGTTCGCGGATCAGAAATGTCATTCCATATTGCTAGTATTAGTTTTCAAATTATTTCTAATACAATTACCTGAGTAAGTAGCGAAGTATCAAAACCAAATATCGTCAGCCTTGAACAATAAACGCGGAACGACTGTTTTTTACCGGCTTGTACCGCATCTAACACTTTGAAATAAGATTTCTTCTGTTATACAATCTATTGTGAGTTCATTTTATGGACCTATTTTATCAGTTGTTGTATTAAAATGGTATACTATTAAAGCCCAGCCCATTCTTCTAATATTTTTTGGTTTTAGTAGGCTTCATTACAATGCAATACAAAATTCTCGTGTATCATTGAAAATCGATACAATTATTTGTAATATATATATATATATATATATAGGTATTTAAAACGATTTGGTAAAACCGAACACAATCTTGTCTAATGTTTCTGTTCACCAGCGCCGTATAGCGGACTAAATGATAAGTAAATTCATAAGGATGTCACAGATATGAGTCCTTTTGAAATTTTACCAACATTCTAGATAATACATTGGTCACTATGTTCCCCATTAGTAATTCCTATTTAATAGAAATTTCATATTTAAAGTCTATATACATACCTAAACACTTGGACAAAATCCTTTTTTTATAGTTAGCATTGCCGTAGTAATGTATATATATACCCACGAGACGTCGTTTCATCGTATTTTTCATATGATTAATATAATTATTAACCAATCAAAGTTTTGAGATGCTTGTCGATAAATCTCTGCCACGAAATGATCAAGTGTGATACTATTTAAACAGTAGGAAAGAGGCGTCATTGAATTCTCGGGATTGTTTGTGATTTGAATATCGATTTAATTTACTTTTCAAATTTCCTAAACTAGAAATGTTTTCATCCTTGGGGACAGAACAAAATTAAATGCATGCATTAGATTAGCTTATATTGCTTAATTTGAAGAATTTATGAATTGAAAAGGGTGCGAAGAGGATTGCTGAACTAGTGACCATCGTTCCTCCGCTGCTAAAGTGGTCTGTCTATCCATGTAAAACAAATAATTTTCAAACTATTCTCCGCATAGACTGGTGACCGATTGAGAGGTCGTGGTCCGCTATATATATATATTATGACAAAGACGCCTATTCTCTTTTCCCCCACACATGGGATAAATATGAAAAACTCTAATATATTCTTATATTGTATATATATATATATTTTACATAGTTTCATATATATATATATATATTCAGAATAAAAAATGATATGAAAAACAAAACTTCAGAACTGAGATATTGTGTTAGATATTGTATATGTTCCCCAGTTTTTTATTCTATTTTCTAGGGTGTTTCCAAATTTAGGAGGTGGTAGATATTTTGTTATTAGTGATAATCTATTTATAACTTATGTAAAAGCATTATGCATTTGATTGATCATTTTCACCGGCATATGAGCCACTCTCTGAATATTCAAATACATTTTTATTTACGTTAAGAATTAATGTATGGTGTCACACCTAACATGTAGTAGAATGTTTGAAATTTTAGGGGAAGTCTTCACCCCCTTATAGGGGGGTGTAGCGAATTGACTGGTCCAAGGTTTACCCTCAAATTAAATTCAACTTGATGAACTTCCTCTTTCTTGGGTTAAATATCTTCATTTAATTGACAGTGTTTGATAGTATAATACCACACACGGTTACCTCAGTTCAAGGTGACTTTATGGAAAATGTTAATTATATAATCTATTAAATGAATCTGAAATATATCATGAATTAAATATATATATACAGGGTGTTTCAAAAATAAGTAGGCCTATACACTTTAAAATTTGCATAACAATCTAATGGCTTATTCAAATTTGTTAAAAGTTAGCAAAAATATTCTATAAACTACTAGAAACAGATTATCATCTTGTACTTATTTATTGAGAGGATATTAGACCTCAATGTGGGAACCACCAATTTCGAGGAATTTTAGCCACCTTTTGACGCATTATTGTCCGACACTGGCGATAAATCGTTTTCGTAGTGATAGAGCAGCGTTCCACACATTACTACCCTACGGTCATTATCTTCTTCTTCAAGTTTATATACAGTTTGCAACTTGTAGAAAAACGTAACATTCGTTGAATAAATGATCGGCTGATCTCCAATTTCATTAAAACGTAATATAAAAACGCAAAACGTATATATGAATTTTCTTTGAATCAATGCACATGCCTCTACTAAAACCTGAATGTTTTCCTCTGAGCGTCCCATCCTTGGTATTCCTGATTTTTGTGCATCGACTACAGATCCAGTGTACATAAATTTACGAAGCATTGCATAAATTGTTCGTTGTGTAGGAGCCGAATTAATTCCGAATTCTCTGTTACAGAGGCGCTGAATTTGTTTTACTGATTTATATGCTTCTTGCCAAACATCATTTTTGCACCTCATTTCTTGGGTTAATCTTTTCGTCATTCTGTGGGTTGATGAAAAATGCAAACAATATCTAAATTTTACTACTTATCCATATTATTTTTTCTGAAGAAATGAACGCTCTATGATGAGTACCTGAAAAGCAAATTAAAAGTGTATATATACTTACTTTTGAGACACCCTGTATATCCAAAAACTATAATAACGCGGGTGTGTTCACACGTGCAAGCAATCGACAATTTAGCACGATCTTTTTAAAAAATTGATGTATTTCAAGTTCTAACCCGAAAAACACGTAAAACTTCGTATATATACACCTAAACGATACAATCTAGATTTTATGCTTGAGGGCATTGCGACACGTAAGATGTCTGCCGTGTAAAAGGTATTAGTATTTGGTTGCAATTCATACTCAGGCGGTTTCTAAATCAGAGAGCTTCGTCTAACTTACCATTGATCCTAATATTAAATAAAACTGCAATTCAAGATGTTGGGTAAGTTATGCACATGCCAGATTTTATTATTATTATTTTAGTTTAATTTTTTTCAAATAATATAGGCATCAGTGTTTTAGACGCAAATTATAAGGATTCTGCGAATAGATTTCCGCATTTTTTCTATTTAATCATTTTAGAATTGATCTATGCCTAGATAGGTTTTCGAACATCAATATTAGGCTTGATGAGTGTTTTCAGAAATACATATAGATATATTCAGGCCACAGATAAATTGGCCTGCCGATATTATAATGCAAAACTAAAACCCGCCGGCGCATTACTTTTAAGAATTGTCTTTTCTATGTGAATTCATGGAAAAAGAACAGACTTAGGTCTATTGCGATATATATATATATGATTTTTTAAGTGGTGGTTTCCCCGAGCATCCACTTTCTTGTTAATTCCGTAACATTGCCCAATTAACACGATGCCCATGGTGACGTAAGAATGCTATATAATTAAAAATATTTTGAAATTTTGATATAAATTAAATAAATAACTTTATTTCATTTTTTAAAGAGTTTTAATTCAGTGGTAATTATTAAAATCAGTTCCCATGCTGCGACAAGGCTCAAATTTTCTACGGTACATGGTTGAATATTTTGAATCAAAATGCTGGTTAGATAAATGGAAACCAGGTTGTAAGCGCCAACTTGAAAAAACAGTCTGAAAAACATCGCAAATTTTGCAATGATAACGTATAAAAAGATTTTTTTTCGTGGTTTCAAGGGTGGGGGAAAATTCATTCCTCGCGCGGAAGTGAAAATTAAGATTACCTCATTTGATACCTCAATCCTGAATATTTTATTGTACTAATTTTATAACATGGCAGTGTTAAAAATAAATTATTTATTTCACGTTGTGTGGCGGGACACGACCTCATTATTGTACAGTCAAAACTCACATATATTATTGGAAATAGCATTTCATTCTGAAAGCATGACAAGAGACCCATTGTATATTAGCTTATCTATTTATTTATTATTATTTGATTTACCTGAATTTTCTTCCGGCCTTCAAAGCAGTTATTTGTGCGAACGGCTGAATGGCCGCCAACCCCACACATAAATATATATGTAGGACTGTATAATACGTTTCGTCTGTCCAACAACTAACATACCGTCTGTCTCAACGTAAAACCCGCAGAAATTATGAAGTATTGGCTCAGGAGCAGCTGCTCGTCAAATTGCGGTTTGCAAGCAAGCGGCATTACAGTCCATTTGAAGCTGTGATGACGGAGGGATTTGTGCTTCACGATCTTGTGCAGTCACATCAAGTGTGGCAATAAAATAACTCTGACTACTGGACTAGACTTGGCTCGTCGGTGTGGCGCATCGTACTAGAAATACGCTCGCCATCGCACCCCTGGGTTCGAAGGTCAGAGGGTAGTTCTATTTTCATCATGCAATTGTACAACATCATATTCTCTTCTGCATAGGGATCAAGCGTGTCTCGTCTTCTAACATCATAGACTTGGAGTTATTGCTCTCTGATCCTCTGAGTTCAAATCCATATCCACCAGGATCAAGAGAAATGTTTGAGAGACGTCAAAGCGTGATGGAGTTCCAGCAGCTCATGAAAAATGATGCTCAAGCTGCATTGACATCTGAGTTGGAAAAATTGTCTCTGACAACAATGCCAGACAAGAGAGAGGTAAGTTATGTGATGATTTTTTGCTTTTTGACAGCTTACATGCTGTAATTTTGCAAAAAAAATGTGTTTTTTATAGAACTCGTCATTCAGTTAGTCACCTTTTCAGCTTTTTGGGGCATAAAACAAAAACTCAATTTCCAGCAATGTTAAGTAAAGTATAAAAAATTAAATATATAAAACAACATATTTTCATTTTAATGCGGCATATTACGAGGGATAGGAAATTTGCCTAATAATGCATGAAATTGTTTCATACAGGATATGTTGTTAACTCTATATAATTGACCTTCAAGTTCAGTTTTGTCTGCATGAACTGTAATAGACAATTTTTCCATTCTACAGTTCAATGATATTCGTGTTTCATTTTAAACAGAAAACTAAAAGAGAGTTTGAAGGCTTTCAACACCTATTTCAAACATTTCTCTCAAAGATCGGACCGTCTGTTGTTTGGGACAAAATTAAACCCCCACCTGAGGGAAAAGTAAGTTAATATTAAAAACCAAGTAGTGGAGAAAACTAGGAAGTAATTATTCAAATTTTATTCAAACTTTCTCACACTTTAGGTCTGAATAAGATCTCGTGTGAAGAGTTTTTATTTTTAAGGACCAGCATTTTTCGGTTAAGCGTTGCCAAACTCACTTTGTGACACTCTGGATTCGGCGATGTGCTTGAAGTTTGAACATGAGATCTGCGATGACAACATAGTTATTAATAAGCTTAACTATAGGCAATCCACGCTCTAGTTAAGCGCAAGACTTGCAGATTAAGCTGCAAAAGTGTTTTACTCTCCATATTTTTGTCAATATATCAATAGGACCTTTTTATTTTAAGATAAAATCATTTGAAGAAATAACGTCTCAGGCGAGGGTATCATCAGATGCTGAATTACTAAAGAAATTAGTTGTTGTCAAGTTGAATGGTGGTCTTGGTACAAGTATGGGATGCACAGGACCTAAAAGTTTAATTTCTGTGAGAAATGGTCTCACATTTTTGGACCTTACTGTTCAACAAATCGAAGTGAGTTGTTCCATATTGGATATTTTATACGTCCAGTGGCATTGTGAATTCCAAATATTGGATCAAATATAAGTTAGGCTGATATTCTTACTATTTGTAACTGATCGTAACCTTTATTCATACAGAAAATTGAATTTCTGCTGCAAATCCCGTAATTTGACTTTGTAAAGTTTTGCATAAATTTTATTGCACATGTTTATCATGGCATGGCAGATTAAATACAGGAGGTGGTTGAGAGAGTCTCGAGCTTTTATGTTGGCTCAATAAGGTAAAGATCTTGTTTGAGACTAAATTATACTAGATATCAGTTCAAACCTACCACTTCATGTTAGCAAACTCTGTCAATTCTTTCCGAATGCCTCCATTTGTTTCAGTTGTTTAGATTGAAGGTTTGGGTATAAAATTCAAAATGCTATATATTGGCTAGTATATAGTAGAGATGTACCGATACCACTTTTGTTGCCGATACCGATCCGATACCAGCTAAAAACGCAGATACCGATATGCCGATACTACAGAAAGGCCGATATTACCGATATTCCGATACCGATACTATGTAATTATTACTTAATTAAGGGTGCTGTGTACGGCAGACGGGTTAAAACAATGGTCTTTGAGCGTTGTTCTCAGTACACATCATTTCAGATCGAAAAAAAGATATATCACATAATATGAAATTAATGTTTGGTGTTTACTTTAATTGATTAAGATAAATTGTACAGTAACGCTAATAATCTCGGTGTTCAATTAGAAAACTCATAAGCCGGGATGTCCAATTTGAATTTATTGTTAATATCGCGAGCTTCGAATATCGTTATTCCTGTTTAAAAGAATAACGAATAGCACCCACACATTCTTGCGCCGCCGTCCTACGTTCAAATTAAAAGCATTTTACAACTATTTTATTTCGTGGCTAATCGTAATCGTCGACGCAGTAAGTCAAAGCCAACATAAAAGAATATCAATCAGCACCGACAAAAAGAAGGCCTATAACCGTCAAAAATGTTTTTTTACTTCACTATTTTATAATATTTTACAATTGCTATCATATATTTTCAGACAGTCTAGGACTAGGTGGTCATGTCAATATATCTATAAAGAAATTGTGTAGTTAAACAAAATTAAAAATAATACCTGCGCAGAGGAATTATTGTGTCGGAATTTAGTTTATCCATGTCGACAGACTAAATGACACTCGTACTCGTACGACAAACAGTCAAAATTTATACCCGTGCCAAAAGTCTACGTGTCGTTAATAAGGACCCCAATTCCACTGTATGATTTAAAAACGGGCGCCTAGTTGCTTTTGTTATATGCTGTGTTGATATATTTCTTCGTTATTACTATGTAATATTAAAAATGTCAATATAAAAATTTGACAACGAAAATAGCCAAATTAGTTGGGCTAGTTTGGCTGATAAATAGCTAAAAACAGTCCTATGCTCTCGCGTGGGTGGGGACATGTATGGCTCATAGCTCACGATCTATCCAGACAAAAAATAAATTAAAAAGTAGTATTCCAACTAATCTTTTAAAACATTCTGGGCCATATCAAAAAGATAAATATATCGGAAATATCGGCCTTAATCTAACCGATACCGATACATAGCCGATACCGAAAAAATGGCCGATATTTCCGATACCGATACATCGGTACATCTCTAGTATATAGCAGAATATTGCATTCTCATTCAAGCATAAAGATATCTGTCATTTCAATTATTGATAACAAGTATTTGATATCTTCTGTCTGTAGTCTCTGAATAAAGAACACAAGACTGATGTGCCACTAGTTCTGATGAATTCATTCAATACACATGAAGACACTGAAATGATACTGAGAAAATATGCATCTTGTAAAGTCAAAATTTTTACATTTAATCAAAACAGGTAGGAACTTTCTCAGATTATCTGCTGTAGTTTTGCTCTGATATTTAACTGCCATATTTGTTTCCCATGATTTGGAAGCAGATCATCCAGTTCTGTGTCCCTATTCGGGTTTTCGAAGTCACAATAGTCAAATAGCTATTTACTCGAAAAGAAAGCCATTTTAGTTTTAAGTGTGGGCTAGCAGTGTAATTTTATTAAAAATGTCTGAATGGTCTCATTGCTATATTTCTCCTTAATTCTATGTAGCTGGCATAAATATATTATGTGAGCAATTATTTTCTAGCCTCAGTATTTTCTACCTTATGTAATACCCACATTTGAGGGGAAATGCCAAAATTCAAAGTTTTTAAATACAAAGATGATCATTTTTCCAATTATATCAGTTGTAAACTATTAGCTCATTCGATGCAATTTTCGTTTTTACGAAAATGAGTTCGGAAATAAAATATTCTATATAATTCTGAATGCAAGTTTTCTGATTTGACTACAAGTCTGAATATTTAAAACGTTCATCATCTGAATATTTTGGAATGTTCGATTCCTTTTGGACGGGCATACCTCAACTAACATAACACTCTGTATTTCATGTGTACTGGGTTTCATGTATTTATTTTTTAAATACATACCAATCAGAAAAACCACACTAAATTTTACACAATGTACACAAGTAGAAACGAGGTGGACACTTTTTCTCAGTGAAATCAAAATTCTGGTCATCCTATACACCTGCCTGTCAAATCAATTCATTTTTTGTTTCCAGGTACCCTAGAATCAACAAAGAAACTCTTCTTCCAGTTCCCCAACGAGTTGATGGTGACCATGAGGGTTGGTACCCACCTGGACATGGTGACATTTACGAATGCATTGTCAGATCAGGATTGTTGAAAACATTCATTGATGAGGGAAGAGAATACATGTTTGTTTCAAATATTGATAATCTCGGGGCAACTGTAGATCTTGGTATCCTTTATACAAATTTATAGACTATACAAAATGATACTCGTAAAATGTTACTTTGCAACTTGATTGATTTTGTATACTGATTTCAATTCGCTGTAGATTGAAAATAGTTGTTTGTGGTGATGGTAGCCATCTTATACCTGAGCTTCTGCCATTTCTTTTCTCTTCGACAATATCTTTTTGCTCTTTATATGAAATTTGACATATCGTAATTCGTAAATCATGAATACGTTGAGTGTAAGCAGATAAGGTAGCATCTGTTGCCGGTCCTTGGAAGGTACATACCTTTAAGCATTTACAAATAATCGGCAAATAATAATGTAAGCAATTGGAAAGAGTATGCTTTCAATAATTCTTCGTAATTAGACCATAGTTCAATTGATTTGATCTGTTTTCTTTAATTGCAGTCATTAATAAGATATTTTGAATATGCTTGTTAGTAAACAAAATGATGAAACTTGTGAATTTGTTATGGAAGTTACGGATAAAACGAGAGCTGATGTTAAAGTATGTGCCTCTTTAATAAGTGTTCAGTTTAATATTTAGGCATATATAATTTGTGATGTATTAACTGGAAATGGTTATATTATGTGATATTATGTAATTCTTTTATAATCTTTTTGAATTTTGATTCAATTATACACAATTGGGTTTGTGTAAAGATTGCATTTGTGTATTAGCCTTCCTCAAGAGTTAATGAAAGCCAGCAGCCCAGCATATAACTTATTTTGATGTTGACTATGATTTGTAAAAGCTTTGGTTTATTTTACTATTTACTAACAGGGTGGAACTCTGATTGAATATGAAGATAAACTTCGTTTGCTTGAGATTGCTCAGGTTCCCAAGGAACATGTTGATGAATTCAAAAGTGTTTCAAAGTTCAAGATTTTTAACACGAATAATCTATGGATGAAACTTTCTGCTGTGAATAGCCTGGTTACGTCTAAACAACTAGATATTGAAGTTATTGTTAATAATAAGGTATTATTCGATTCTATGCTTTCATTGTAAATTAATTGAAAAATCAACAGGCATAGACCGGAGTAGAATGAAGTATGGTTAAAATAAATATATCCATTACCTTAATATGTGGAAAGTGGATGTTACAAGACAGTGATTTGTTGAAGAGCTGGAAGCAAATCATTTATGAGCAGGTCACTAGAACATACACTTGCTAAGCTAAACCCACTTGTTCTTCTACTTTCACTATGTCACCCTTTTCGACAATTAAAGCATACACTCTTTTACAAAAGACTTTCTATCACCCACATTTAATCAGGGTTTGAGATATTCATGTCTTTGCATAGATGTACTTGAATTTTGCAAACATTTTGGGAAAATTTTACCTTTTTTACATCCTCAGCAATTCCATAAATTAGTTGAAAATTTGGTAAAAAATTATATCTTGCCTAATTGAAATATTAAACTGCAGAAAGTGTAGGACATATCTTGAAGCTCTTAAAATCGCATGAGAAGGTACATTTACGGCTCAAAATAATTGTTTTTTCATCAGCGGAATAATTGATGATTTTCTGCCTAATTTTCTTCAGTTTTGTAACATAAACTCTCATGCTATTTATGTTACCTTAAATGTATTTGTTCAACCAAAGTATGTGTTAAGTTTTACCTCTGATATCTGTGCTTAATAAAAATATTGCACTGTGCCTTATTGGCAACACTGGGCTAAACAGAGCTGAGGGGAATTTGCCTTGTGTTGTCACTTCGTGACGCGTCACTCCGTGACAATTTTTCAACTTTATTTCAATTATCTGATATATTTCAATAACTATTTGCCTCAAAAACTAAGACGTCACTTTGAGGGTAGGGCCCAATAATTTACCAATTTGGCAGTTGATAGTTGCTTGTTGTTCTTTCGCAGCACTTCTGGAGATCTCGTCACTCCGTGACGTCACGGAGTGACATGAGTATGCCATTTTTTGAAAATATCATTTTTCTGTACGCGAAGTACTATAATATTGGGTTTGAACTGCAATTTCTTCTGCTTTGCCCTCTACTTACTTTGGACCTTACCCACAATGAAACTTGAATGACATGATTGAATGGCAATGGCAACTTTTTTAAAACTATCGATGACCAAAATATTTGACATAACATGTGCCGGTTTTGAACAATATGAATGAACTTATTTTAGACTACAATTGAAAAAATATGTAATCTGTTGGAATGGCAGAATAAATATGGCAAAATGCATTGTTTTGCAATATAATTCGACATTTTTGTAAGAGGCGTAAGTGAATTCAAATAATTCACAAACAATATTAAATCTCAAGTTTTAACATCGGCATCTGGATTTTGGTTTATATCCATTTATCGGGTTAACTCATAGGATGCGAAAAATCATGAAATGTAAAAGAAATATGATGTGTTTGTCAAAAATTGATGATACTTTTAATTAGAAAACGCCAGTGCGTCACTCATTGTCACCAATAATTATTTTTACGTGCCAACTATATCATAGAGCTGGAAAAAGCAAAAATGATGCAATAACAAGTTTTCGCAGGGACATATTTATCACTGTCTTCTTGTTCTAAATATGCAGACTAAGAATACTGTGTTTGGGGCCTACTGCTTATATGTGTGCTTTGCAAGCAGATGCAAGTACTACCTAACAATAGTAACAAGAGAGACTTCATCGCAAAAGAAAATGCTTTTCTATGGTTAATAAATTAGATATCCAAATAACAAAAAACGTCGCATGGTGCAAAGATTCTTAAACTGAATTGCATTAACGGATCCTCCAGATTCTGTATTTTGAATTGTCCATTCTTTGTCAAGTCACTGCAATAAGATTTCAAATATATAGGAGTGGAATAGTTATGTCTGTTTCATGTTGTCTGTGCAACATAGCTTTTTACTTAACTATATAGATTATTAAAGTTAGTGCACTCGTTTAGCATATTAATATGAGGGAGACACAAGCAGAACGACCAAAAAATATCATTTTTCCCAATTTTTTGTTCAAATGTTTTGTAATTTCAAACAAATAACCAATTTTGACCTAATACAACTAATTGTTCAACATTCTTAATACCATTTTAATGATAAGGAATTTTTGTCACTTCGTGACGTCACGGAGTGACATGCGACTAGTTGGGCCATATACTTCGCTGCATCCTGAAAAATGCTTGATGTACAATAAATTTTGCATAAATGTAGAGACTAATACCCTAGAATACGGAAACAAGTTATTATAATTCATATGTCATGAAGCTTTTGACGAAATTTGGTTGATATATCGCAGTCATTTTATGCATTCAACTTTTTGTCACTCCGTGACATCACTTGTTTTGTCTCGTCGTTTGAAAAATATTTGGTTGAAAGTGAAAAGTGAATTAAGGTAAATACATCAGTGTTACTGGCTTACTGCTACCAATTGGCATTCTAAAAATAGCAACCACCAAGACCTTGATATAGTAAAATTGATTAAATGTGTGAAATTGGAATTGAATATGGAATTGCTGTCGACTTTATTTTCTAAACAGAGGCTGCCAAACGGAGTCAATGTTATCCAATTAGAAACAGCTTCCGGTGCTGGAATTAAAAATTTCAACAATGCCATAGGTAAGTTGTGTGGTTGTTTTTATGTTAGGTCATGTTACGTCTTTAGAATTTATTAGTTTATTCAAGAATAGCAAAAGTTTGTTAAACAGAAAAGGCCAAAAATGTCCAATTTACTACATTGTGAAACAATATTTTTGAATATGCAACGTCAAATTCTTATTTTTAGTCTGATGTGAAATTCTCAAAATAAGAAATATTTTAAGGTCAATATTCAAAGTGTTTTAATATCTCGTTGGTTCTAGACATTCCTAGTCAGTCTTGTGTTTAGTATGTATAGAAATTTGTGAACATATTTATGTTTCAACTCCATTGTAATAAATTATTAAAGGTTTTTTCATGTGATTAAACATGTTTTTTCCTGCTTGAATTGTGCCTCATTATAAATATACTAATACAAAACCTTAGGTATCAATGTACCAAGAAGCCGTTTTCTACCGGTGAAGAAAACATCAGATCTTTTGCTTGTAATGAGTAATTTATATACATTACGTCATGGTTCAATGGTCATGAACAAGAATCGAATGTTTCGGACTACACCTCTTATTAAACTTGGGGATGAGCACTTCTCTAAGGTGAGTGCAATTTCCTCCTCGAGCACTACTGTTTGACTGGTTATCTTATTAATGCTGTACCATTTTGAACCCCAAAAACAGATATACTCAGTAAAGCCTATCCTAGTCTAGCTTATTTGGTGTTACATGATTAGGATATAATCATGGCTATGAGGCAGATCTCCGATCTCAGTGGTCTGAACCAGTGGTTCCCAAACTTTTTTACGCGACCCCAATTTTCATAAAATCATAGCCTACAGATACTTGCGACCCCACAACTAGAAATGTTCAGCAACCTCAAAAATTAGTATGTAAGTTTAATTACAATGTACCTGTTTATCGAATGCAAGTATGGACGTTGACGGCGAACATTGACCCAAAAAATATATGAACGATTCCGGCAATGCGCCAGAAAGGCGAGAAATTCAGAAGATTTGATAACACATGACATCGTATGAAAATCATGGTGTAAAAATTTCATAGATCATAATTATAACGGTTCTTTGGCGAAACATAGACGGACTTGCTAAAATGTGGTAGACTGGAAGGAAGTGTACGATACTCCGGAAATAGTAAGATTGCTTCTGAATATACACAAAATCCTATTTAGTATATTCCAACAGTGTCTTTATTATTTTTAGTTGAATATTAACATATTACAGATTGCTTCATTATTAATTCGAAAGTAAAAACAGAGCATGAAAGCAAAAACGGAAAAAACATGTCCTGAATCACATCATTTACATATCTTTCATTATGCTAGAACTCGTTGTGGTTTTGTGTTTGACTGGTCGGAACGCTTAGAAATTATGTATGAAACGTGTAAATACGTAATATTGCAATACCGAAATGCTCACTTTTATGTTGAGGCGATGTGGACAAAGCATATAGCCTTCTCGTAGATTTTAGACACGCGCGCAAATTAACAAGACGCTTTCGCAACTGACCGAAACCCAAAGTGTAATTATTGGCCCGGCAATTAAAATTGTCATATAAAGCAACCAGATCAACTTTGAACATGATCAAAAATATTATAAAAAGGTAAATACTATTGGCGCTCGTACCACTGTCACTCAATTACATTTACTAATACCGGTACCTGCCGACCAGCTGGAAAATTACCGCATGAAAGTTTTATCGAGCAATTTTGACGCTGTTTGGACAATAAACGGTCGAGTTATTGCTAGAAAATCCGAAGTTAGGCACTTTTACGGTACTTGCAGACCAACACAAATTTCACTCTCCAACTTTCAAATCCTAGTCACTTGTGTACGCATGTTTGAAAGAAATTGGGCGACCTCGGAAAATCTTTACATGGGGTCGCGACCCACAGTTTGGGAACCACTGGTCTAAACTAAAGTACCTCTTTCTCCAAAGTGTGAAGAACTTCAATATGTAATATTTTTAGTGATTCAAGAGTCTTGCTGCACACTAGCACAAATATATTTCTGTAACGTTTCGTCTGACCAAGGTCATAGACAATAGATAGACATCATAGACAACTATAGATAGTTGAACTATGTATGTCTGAAGAAGTCTGGTCAGACGAAACGTTACAGAAGTATATTTGTGTTAGTGTGCAGCAAGACTCTTGAATCACTTAGGATTGTATCTCTACTCTTGCTACAGCATCCTTGCAGTATATGCATACGGATCCACCAGCACAAAAGCATAGAAGAAGGATAAGTTGTTAGTCTCGCAGAAACCAAATAATCAGCGCATGTAATATTTTTCCTTTACTTAATTTCACTTCCCTCATGTATAAAGCACTGTTTAATTTTTGTAAAAGTTGATCAGTATTATTAGTAATTATCAAAACTTAGATTTGGGGTCCTATTGAAAAAAGGTAAACCATGTTAGCATGTATTCCTAATTAGGTGCTAAAAAATTCTGGCACGAATATCAGAAGTCGATAGACAAATGGTTACTAATCAGTTATTTTATCAATAACATCACTTTATTTATTGGTTTCATGTTGAAAAGCAAAAGCTCTGAGTAAAAGATTCAATTTTATTATTAAAGGTCGCCCATGTGACCAAAGTTCTTTAAAAGGAAGGGTCAAAAGATCAAATAGAAAGTTTTAATTTATTATTCATGCTTTCACTACGAGATTACCTATAATTGTCAGAGAATGTCATCAGAGAATGGATTAATCAGAAATCTTATACTGAACTGTGTAGTTATATTCCTCCTGGCATTCTTGACTTTGTTCGTCAATTTCTTGCATCAAAAAAGAATATTTTATATTCTAAATTCAACAAAAAAACTCTGTGGGAACATATGTTGAGCATGTATGGATTTCTATATTTATAAGTTGAACATGGGTGAATCTTTTTCCTCAATAATGTTTCATATAAAATATAGGGAATTGACTGTAGTGGTTAACTACTCGTGAAAGGAAATACCAGACATCAAACCATGTTGTCTTATTGATGTAGAATGTGGTTTCCAGGATAAGAAATGAATATTTGTTTACTTACCTATGGTTAAATATATGTTGGTGAAAGGATTTCCTGTGGGTTCAGATGGTCCAAACAATATCTGACTGTGAATTGTGTTCTAACAGCAATGTGTATTTCTCTTTTATCCAGGTTCACAAGTTTCTGAGTAGATTTGAAACAATACCTGATATGCTAGAGCTGGATCACTTAACTGTGAGTGGTGATGTTACTTTTGGCAAAGATGTTACATTGAAGGTATGTTGTTCTGACTAGCAAATTCCTTTACCTCTACTATTTCAAGTAATAATATATTCTCTATTCTACTATGATATATATATAAGTCTGATGAAATTATTTACAGGGTACGGTGATTATCATTGCAAGTCATGGTGAACGAATCGATATACCATCTGGTTCTTTTCTTGAAAATAAAATTGTTTCGGGTAATCTACGTATACTCGATCATTGATGAGTATGAGTGGTTTGATCTTTATCCTAAAATGACCATCTTGATACATGTTGTTCATTAATACATGTATCTTCATATCCGCATTGCTTTGCTATTTATTTCTAATTGGAACGACTTGATGTGAAATCTGAATTAAAAATATTTTATTGGTTCTTTGTGGCATTGCAATGTATATCAAATATAAGATATGAATTTCCTTTTTGCATATTTCAAATTTGGCAAAGAATTAGTATTCAGGATAATTTTAGGGAGTATTTTGACTATTGTGTTTCAGTCGTAAGTAACCAAACCCTGAAATGTACAGATAGATTACATGGATACATCTACCAAAGGAATTATATGATCAGACTTGAATGTTTTTTTTTCATATTTGTTTTTATTCAATGAAAGAGTTTGAAGTTTCATTTGTTGTTATGAAATGTTAAATATTATGTTTTAATATATGGGCCTACCTTGTTTGAAAAATAAAATTAATTGCTTTAGTATTTTTCACACAAAAATGATCATTCCAGTGAGGAAAACATTTTTCATTTAATTTTTGCAATTACTATGTCAGATAAAATGATACACGAGGCTAAAGAACAAAATAGTTTGTTATTCATTTAATCATTAATAAAAGGGAAAATACAATTTTGATTTGCTCCTGATCTCAGTTGGTGTTTGAAAATACCCAACTTTAAATTATCATGCTACTCTTATATTTTCATGATCTTTATGCATTTTGCCAGTAACATATAACGATTGCTTTAACTTAGATGCTTGTCAAGTGGTTAACATCTATCAGATTCCAACATTTCATAAAAGCAGGATATTCAGGAATTTTCTCCAGTGTCGTATTAAGCTTCAAAGATAAATAAAATAAGATAAAAACTTTCAAGTTTTGATCATGATTTTATATATTTTAATATAATATTCAGACACCATATATCGGTACTATTTTTATTTATAGTTGTTCTTGATATTTTTAGTATCCTGCTTTTCTTAAATTATATGTTTATTGTTTTTAGTTAGTTTAGGTTGACAAACAATTGCTAATTTCGTTTTCAGCAACTACTTTCAGTAATTGTAATTAATGTCGATGCTATTAAGATTTTGGAAATGCCAGGTTTATTCTTGCCAGTTTTTTGTCATGTCCCTTTGTTTTTTAATATGCGTAATCAGCAATAAACGCTTGAAGCCGCTTGCATCCTAGTTTTGTTTACTGCACTGAGAACTGAGAAGGTCATAGGACAATTTTTCCATTATCGCCTCGTCCATTGTAGTTTATGCACTCAGAACGATTTACTGGTTAGCTTTTCCCATACTATCCAGACTGGTTACTAGCATGTCAGTTTTTCAGGATGAAAAATGAAAAGGCTACTGCATTGAAGAAGCAGTCAGTCCCAACACAAACTCAGCAGTTTACTATCACCGTGTTTTATAAGTTTTTCTTGACTTTATCCGTTATCGTCTTCATTCAAGTCCTCATCATTCGCCAGATTACCATCGGAATGAAGTTCTTACTGTTGAAAGCAAAAGTTCCCCCTTTTCCACAACACGAAAGAAATCGTGAATAATAAAAACCAATATTACTCCGTAGATTAAAAAAGATTGGGAACAATCCAGTTCGATATATATTGCTTCCACAAAACATAAATGAAGTTCAAACCCCAAATGCAAAATCAGATTTTTACCAATATACAGTCTGCTCGAATGTGGCCAGCACTAGATATCCCAACACAGATTGAAATATCATAAGTTCCGGTCTCCGATGGCAGCGGAAAACCGGGTTTTACGATGCATTGCCTCAAATGTCGACAATTGTACAAAATTTGAATATAACCAATCCGTAGAATAGAACGTAAAGGGGTGTTTTACTAAGTCGAAATCAATCATTTACTGGAAATTTGCCGCTAATTCTCTAATGAAGTTGTACACCGAGGAGGAACGTCCGTGCCAATCGAGGCTTCTCCATAGACTCGTTCCCAGTTTTCAGATCGTCAACATCATTTTAGTGTGCTTCTCGCCCTTTTTATTAGGTTAGACCAGCGGTTTTCAAAGGGGGCGCCGCCCATATATTTGGTAACAGGTTTGTGTTAAACGTAACTAATATATATATGATTAAATATTTTACATATTGTGTTTATTATAAATGTTTTATTCTTTCTTATTTTAAATGCATATATAAATCAATAAATTTATTACCTTTCTATGTCGTTTACTTTCTGCAATGAGCATATATACAATGAGTGGAAACTTGCAAAGATTTGCTCATTGTGGCATTGTTCCCTGCATTTTTTAAGTCGTCCAGCTAAATGGTTCGCTGCATATTAAGAAAACGCATTGCTCGCTGCCAAAATCCCTTGATTCAGCCGAGTCGGGTGCGAAATTGGCCGTGTTGAGGTCTTTAATTCTTCAATACATATTTGGTTTTGGGTTTCGAAGTATGGTACGCTGAAAGCATACAACTATGAGCATATGCTTATTGGGAATGCATATCTATTAGACAGAAACGTATCTACAGAACAGAATATGAACCAGTCGCCGAGAGGAGTGCGGTTATTTATGTATTTATAAATTGATATAACATGGGATTTACATATTTATCCAAGGGGAGAAGAAAGCCGAAAAGAAGGCCTAAATATATGGCGAACCACGGCCTCTCCCAATCATAGCTCTGTGCTCCATATGAATCACATGGCTCTGCGAGCTATTCGTTTACTTATTAAAAATACTGATTTTAACTATAAATTACTCTGGGATATCTTGCCATTGAAAACAAAAGCCAGAAATTGGAAGAATAGCAGGGAATGAAATGTGTGTATTATGTAATGGAGAACCTGAGTTTGTTTCACATATTTTCATGTATTGTAAATTTACAAAAAATATTTATGAAGATTTTGTTTTAGATATATTAAAATTGATTAGAATACATTTTGTTATCAATATGATTCTTGCATATTATTTAATTTTAACGATCCTTTATATAGTCATATAGATACTGTTGATTTGGATGCAATTATACTTTTGTAATCAATAGTGAGATATAAAATTTTGACCATGAGAAATTCTATTATATTCGAAAATAAAACACCACATTTTGCCTTTCTCAAAAAGCAGATAAAAATGGCCATAATATGTAGAAAAATATAGAGAATTATAGAATAAACAACCCATTTGAGAGGGAATTGAAAAATTTATGTAATGCATTATTTTAAAAAGAAAATTATATGTTTATGATATGTATTTTATGTTTACTAATTTTATTTTTATTGTTTTATATCAATGCATTTATTAAAATAACCTAATTATGGTATGGATTACTACTGGAATTGAACAAAATAAATACTGGATCATGGATGCAAAATGGAATATGAACTTATTTATATTATATATATTATTTTATATTTACCGTAATTTAAATCACTCATTGAGTGAACGAATGAGCATACTGTAATGCTTATTGGGAATACATACCATCTATTAGACAGAACACTTATCTACAGAACAGAATATGAACCAGCCAAGTGGGGACCTGGGATATTGTATTCATTGATATAGGTAGAGATAGTTTATTTTGGAAAGTCCACAATCTGACAATACAAACAAATAAAAAATGGAGAGTTCTGGAGAGCGAGCAAAACCTTAAAAAAAGTTCAAAACACGATGAGTATTATGTGCCTGCTGTGTTATAGCAAGTAGTAATGTGTAATGAATTTAATTCACTGTTGTAAATGAATTGCTATCTTTTTATTTGTTATGAGCACACTTGCTGGAACTCCATAATCTATTATTTTATTTTTTAGTAACACTTTTTATAAAAATATCAAATTGTTTATCATACTTGCATCCATATTTCGCCCTAAATTCCATTCTATGACACTTTCTCTGTATCCAAATATCTATGTACATGACCACATTATTTATTTTTTAGTAATACTTCATTTAAAAGTATCATAATGTTTATTATAATTGCTATTCTAGTATTTTATCATTTTTTTGCCTTAAATTTCATTCTATGATACTTGCTCTGTATCCAAATATCTATATGTATATGAGCACTTTATTTATTTTTTAGTACCGGTAATACTTATTTAAAAATAACCTATTGGGTATCATTGCTATTTCAGTATATTATCAATATTTCGCCTTAAAATTCATTCTGTGTTACGTGCTCTGTAGCCGAATATAGATATGTACATGAGCACTTTATTTCATATATATATCTGCTGGAGAAGGGTCAAATCCTGATCATGTATTATTGTGTGTTACTATCCTTCAAATCACTTGCCAGTCATAATCAAGTATTATAATTTGATGTGTTTAAATTATAGTGTATAAAGAAACTCATGATTTCATTACTATTATCAAATGTTTATAATTAAAGTGCTATAATAATAGAATTTTCCCCATCTTTGCTTATAAAAAATCCATGTCCTATTACATTCATTTTTAGTAGACAAATTTTCCAAATAACAGGTATCCTCGCTAACCCATTTTTATTCAGTTGATATGCAATACATGTCAACTTATCAGCTGAATAAATGATGATCTTAGGACAAAACATGATTATTTAGTACTTTCCAAATCAAAAATTCTTATGAATAATGTATATAGTGAATAAGGTATATGAGAGGTATTGAAGAATTTAACACTGAACCTGTTAAATGACCCGAAATGTTGTAACGTTGTCTCCCAGTCAAACACCTGAGCATCTGTTTTTTTTTTTATTATAATTTATATATGTTCATGGTTTGACGAACGAAATAAACTCTCTCTCTCTCTCTCTATTAGTTTAAAATACTGACTTCTGGACTTGGCTAATTTTATGCATATCAAAACTTGTCATTTATTTTTTCCACATGTTTTTCCAATAAAACATACTTACGCCTTACTACTGTTATTTGTAGCTTATTATTGTTAGCTAATTATTTTTGAGGTGGGGCGCAAGACTTCACAATTTTAAAATGGGGATGCGGTGCGGCTTGAAAAGTTTGGGAATGTTTGTATGTAGTAGACCCTAACCTGGTACACATGGTTCCGGTGTCTACCAACTGGGTTTACATACTTCAAGAGTACCTTTTTGTATTACAGTTGTGAAACAGAAAAAGCTGAATGTCGGTCTTATTCCATCTGTAAAGTTACCAAAAACTCCACAAAGAATGAACAATGTGTATTATCGATGAAATGAAAAGTGACATATAAAAAATACAGAAGCTGTGGAAAATATTTTGCATTACAGAAAAATTAGTTCACATATTAAATATTTTACATTACAAAAAAAATGGTGCTCCAGAAGTATGTGTACCAATATGAAGGTAACTAATTTTGTTCGCCTACTTTATATCAAGTTGTGTAAATGGACTAAATTCTATCGGTAGGGGGATATTCACTTGCGTAACACAGACAATTCCCGAACTTTTAATAGAACAAAAATAAGAAGAATCGTAACCTAACCTGGTACACATACTACGAGTACCGAAAAAACAGCCCACATAGTAAAAGCAGTTATGGAAATACTTTACATTACAGAAAAATTAATTCACATAGTAAATAGCAGACGAAGGAAATATTTTGCATTGCAGAAAAAATAGCTCACATAGGTAATAGCAGTCATGAAATATTTCTCACTATTGATTACAAAAGTATAATTGCATCCGAATCAAAAGTATCTTTTAAGTATTTTTAATAAGTAAACGAATAGCTCGCAGAGCCATGTGATTCATATGGAGCACAGAGCTATGATTGAGAGAGGCCGTGGTTCGCCATATATTTAGGCCATCTTTTCGGCTTTCCTCTCCCCTTGGATAAATATGTAAATCCCATGTTATATCAATTAATAAATACATAAATAACCGCACTCCTCTCGGCGACTGGTTCATATTCTGTTCTGTAGATACGTTTTCTGTCTAATAGATATGCATTCCCAATAAGCATATGCTCATAGTTGTATGCTTTCAGCGTACCATACTTCGAAACCCAAAATCAAATATGTATTGAAGAATTAAAGACCTCAAGTCAAGTTAATACGGCCAATTTCGCACCCGACTGAGCTGAAGCAAGGGATTTTGGCAACGAGCAATGCGTTTTCTTAATATGCAACGAACCATTTAGCTGGACGACGTAAAAATGCAGGGAACAATGCCACAATGAGCAAATCTTTGCAAGTTTCCACTCATTGTATATATGCTCATTGATTTCTGTTAC